TTCATCTGTAACTATTTCCTTTCAAAGGAGGAACTTAAGCCTTTGTTCCTTTGCTCTTTATAGTCTTTGTTTGGTGTACCTGTGTGAGTCTATGTGAGAGAAAAAAATGTGGAGTAGTGGGAATGTTTATCTTTTTTTTTTTTTTTTTTTAAGTGTTATGTCCAGTGGTACCAGTTAGTGAGTCTCTGTGTCTGTCCATCATAGACAAATCCCTCTAATCCCCAATTCTTTATATGTATCTTTCTTCTAGCCTTGTTTTTTGCCAGTTGCTGTGTTTCATAGGATCAAATCTGTCTTGATGGATCTCAGATACAAAGCTGTATTTAAATAAAATATTTCTAAAGTGCTACAGGAAATCAAAGAATAATAGAATGGTTTGAGTTGGGAGGGACCTCGAAGACCATCTAGTTCCAAACCTCTGTGGGGGGCAGGGTTGTTGACTGCTTAATTGGGAACTAGGTCAAGATGCCCAGGGTCCTAACCAGCCTGGCTTCTTCAGTGATGGAGCACCTGTCACCCCGCTGGGCAACCTATTCCGGTGCTTCACCACCTTTATAATGAAAAACTTTTTCCTTATATCCAATCTAAGTCACCCCTTCTTTAGTTTGAAACCATTTCCCCTTGTCCTATCACAGCTGACCCTGCTAAACAGTCCTCTTCCTTTTTATAGCCCCCCTTTTAAGATACCTAAAGATCACTATCAGGTCTCCCTTCTTTTCCCTAGGATGAAAAGTGCCAGCTCTCTCAGCCCATCCTCATAAAGGAGGTTTTCCATCCCTTGAATCATTTTTATGGACCTCCTCTGTTCACTCTCTAACAGGTCCACATCCCTCCTGCACTGAGTATTCCACATCTGGAATTCCACTCCTGGCTGCAGTACTCTGTAGAGCTGAGGGGCAAGATCATCTCCCTTACTGCAGACTACACTTCTTTTGATACAGCTCAAGATATTGTTGGCTTTCTGGGCTGTGAGGCCACATTACTCGTTAAGGTCGGGCTTGCCATCCACCAGTATCTCCAGGTCCATTTCAACAGGGCTGTACTCTATCTTTAAAGCCCCCAGATTGTATTGATAGCAGGAATTGCTATGATCCCTGTTCAAAGTCTTGCTCTTGGCTTTGTTGAATCTCATGATGTTCACCTGGGCCCACTGCAAAAGCCTGTCTAGGTCTCTATGAATGGCATTTTGGAAGACATAGGTAGTGACAAAGTACCTGATGAAATCTACTGAATAAATGTTATCCTTCTGAGGAGTGATCTGTATTGTTCCATCTCTCTACAGAAAGTGTGAAAGAAGTTTTACCAGATGAAATGAGGAGGTTAGTTTTTCTTTCTCTTCCTTACCTTCTTTTATTAACAGCTGCTTTTTTCAATCCCATGCTGCTACTTCTGCCTACAGCTGCATTACTATGTAGCCCTGTCCTTTTAGGTCAAGGACTTGTCTACCTTGATATAAATAGTGATATAAATATTTATCATTTCAATTGTTTACAAAGTGTATACATTGGGTAACTGATTTTTAAAAACAAAACTGCTGATCCTAAGGGATACAGCATTGTCTAAGTAAAAGGAGTAGATCTGGAATAGGCTTCTTCTAAGCTCTGCCATTTAACTGTCATTTAATTCCTGTGATGCAGTTTACTTACTTGTAGAATTAGTCTAATAATAATTACCTGGCTCACAGCATCTTCTAAGATTTCATTAGTGTTAATAAAGCACTTAATTTGTCAGGTTTGAGTTTTTTGCCTCAAAACTCCACATAGATTGAAAGTAAATAAACTATCAATTATTACTAAGCAACTAGTCAAGTTAAAAAAAAATATATATATATATTCCACATTCACATTGATATGCTTTCTGTGATTATCTTTTTTGTGTAAAAATGTTGAATTCTTCAGTGCTGAAATCTATCTAATCCTAAATTTAAAAAGAAATAAATCTTAACACTTGTAAATAAAAGTATGATAGCTTACATGGGAAAATAAATAATAAGGGGCAAGAATTCTTGAACAAGGCTCTTTCCTTAATTTAAACTGCCTTTATAGTTCATAGGAGAAAAATGCATCAAGCGATCACAGTCAATGACGCTACGCAGTATAACAATGTCCCATTGCTAACATTAAAAAAAGGCCTCTAAATCATCCTGGTAAAAAAGAAATAGTAATGAAAGGAGAAAAAGGTAATGCACACACAAGCGCCAGCATGAGGAACGGGAGCTGGAGTGACTTCAGAGCCATAAGTTTTGGAATGTGAAGGAAGCAGAGAAAGGATAGATGTCAGAAAAGTTTGGGTAAAGTAAAGTATTCATTGCTCTCAAAAATTACTCCCCTTTTTATTCTTTCAGAGAGAACGTTAGGATAATGAAGTGACATTTTATTATAATATCATCTAAATCTTTGAAGCTTCCTATGCCCTACTTGATTCTTTTAAGGGGCCTATTTGTAATCGCAGTGAACAATAATCTGAAGTACAATAAAGACTCACAGAACAACAGTTCCTTGAGCCATTGTGTTCACAGCTGAATTCTCTATCAGGGAGAATACAAGCCAAGGATCTGCCCTGGATACATTCTTCCCAAAAAATAAATCTGCACTAAAAAAAAACATAGATAATATACATTCATGTACCTTGTTCATGGTTCTCTTGTTATATAATTAGATCTAATAAGTTCTGGATTCATTTCACCTCTAGAATCAATCTGTAGTTTCAGAGAGGATATATCAGCAAGAGAGACAGTAAAAACAAAACCAAACAGCATGCAATTCTAAAGACCCAGTTTAGTTCTGTGCTTCATGAGAATAAATTCTGTGAAGGGATTTTACACAAACAGGTATGTTGCAATAACACTCTGAGATGTAGTGTGAGAATAGTGTGAGCTAGCAGGAGCAGGGAGGTAATTATCCCCCTGTACTCAGCTCTGGTGAGGCTGCAGGTTGAGTACTGTGTTCAGTTTTGGACCCCTCACTAAAAGAAAGACATTGATGCCCTGGAATGTGTCCAGAGAAGGGCAACAAAACTGTTTGCAAGCAGCCAGCAAGGCGCACACACCAACACCGTTTGCTCATCTTGTGTGCCCTGTAGGTGGCAGCTAGCTTCTGCTCTACCTGAGGCTACTTATGGCCTGGTAGCTTGGTCCATGGTGGGCAGCGCTGGCCCCATCCACGCAAGCTCAGCAGCCCGCCCACAAGCTGCCAGCCCCCTGGCACAGGCAAAGCACTTTTTCCGACTTCAAGAAGCCCCCAGAAGAGCGTTTCATCAGCCCTTTTTGCTTCAGATCCCTTCCCCAGTGCAGTCTTAGATGCTCTGAAACTGTTCTTTGCAGAGAGACCCTGCTCTTATTGCTAAAAGTCAAGAAATAAGGATAACAATTCTCTGAAGGGTAGCATGACTTTTATTAAATTAACTTTTTAAAAATCTGAAAGATCTCAATCTGAAATGGTATGATGCAAATGATGATCTTAGTTCTCTATTAATATGTCAACAATAAAACCATAACAATGAAGGCAGAGTCTAGGCACTGGCAGGTTTCAGTTCTGTGGTCTCCTTTTCTCCAGGCCTGAAGCTGCTCCTGGTGTTGGTCCTGCAGCTGCTCAGGCTTCCATCTAGACTCGGGGAAGTGCTGGGGAGGCAATACAATACTCAGAAGGCCTCTTGGCCTTGCTCTTCCACCAGCATTTCTCCTCCTCTGTTTGAAGGATGTTCTCATGCGTGTTCGTCCCTTTCACTGGTGGCAGCGTGCAGGAAGAGGTTACAGGCGGTTGCTCTTCAGTTCCGCCACCTGACTTGTAGCAATCGTTCTTAGTGTTGGGCCGTTTTAGGGACACCAGGAGCTGCGAGTAGAGACTTTCCATAGTGAGCATTTCCGATTTCTCTGTGCTCCTCTTCTCACTGAAGCCAGAGTTGAAAGGCTGGCGGGTTTCAGTTTTGCTGTCTGCTTTTCTCCCCAGGCTCAAAGCTGGTCCTCGGGATGGTCTTGCAGCTGCTCCTGCTTTCCTGTGCACTTTGGGAAGTGCTGGGGAGCGCGTACGCCAAAAAAGCCTCTTGGTCTTGTAGTCCCACCAGCGTTTTCTCTCCTCTGTTTGAACGAGGCCCTCCTGGAAGACCATCCCTTTAACTGGTGGCTTTGTGCAGTTAGAGATCTCAGGTGGCAGGTCTTCAACTCCACCGCCTAGCCTAGGACGCTGACTGAGCATCCAGGGGATCCCGCGTGCCACCAGAACCTGCGGGCGCTGGTCCTGTCTGGGAAGTCTGCCGGGTTTCCCCACAGAGCTTGTGGTACCAGAGGCAGAGTCCATGTGAAGAGAGGGGCACAGACTGCGCAGCAACAAAGGCCGGGTCTTTCCTGGCTGGATGGGATGGGGCAGGATGGGATTGCCCTTCCATCGTGATGCTTGCTGCTGGGAGCAACGTGGCCTGCACAGAGGGCTCCTGTGCCTGCCTGCCTGCCTCTCAGCACCTGTAAAACAGGGAGCAGGTCTGAGCCACAGTAGTTGATCTTCCAGGCCCACCCAGCCTGGCTACTACACGACAGAGACTGGTACGAAGCTTGGCTTCTCCCGGGGGGGCTGGCCCTGCCTGCAAATGTGCCAGGCGGACCCTCAGGGGACTCACCTGACTTTGATGCCACCACTTGCAGCCACCACATCCACCATTGCTGGCACCGGTCAGAACCCTACGGGCACATGAATGTGGCACAGTTCATGAGGACTTGCGGGGCTGCCCTCACCCCCCCCCCC